AAAAAAAAAAAAAAAAAAAAAAAAAAAAAAAAAAAAAAAAAAGAAACTAAACAGGACTTAGGCCATGTGCACAAAGACATTACCTCCTTAGACCTGGGCAGAAAAGGCCTCTGCCAGAGGCACCACTTTTAGAGGGTCCCCCTCTGGCTCTCCTTAGGATGCTGTCTTCCCCATGTAGTGAAGAGACAATGGGGCAAGATGTGCCCAGTTGGAGGTTTCATTCCACTCCCTCTAGACCACACTCTAGGTCCCTGGGATCTTAGAATATCCTTGCCAAAGGACCTGGAGCCCAAACCTAAGGTCTATACGTGTCTTTTATCCAGTCTGTCCTCCTGAGAGTGGGCCACATCCCCTGTGGGTTCACCCCTAGCCAAGAGCTAGGGGAAGAATAGATGACACAGCTGGGAAGGCAGAGCCTCCTTCACATGAGGCCATTTGGAGAAAGGCTAAAGGGAAGGGGGACTGTCGGGTTAATAGGAGTTCAGAGAAAGCAACACCTACTTTGGCCTGAAATAGAGAAAACCTCAAGGAGGAAAAATATGTTGACCTGGGTCTAAGAGGATGGGAAAAACCTGGGTGGAGGGAGGTAAGAAGGGAGAAGACCAATCTGATTGAACCCAGGTCCTTAGTATTGCCTTACCTTGCCCTGTCTCATGCTTCCTTCCTGGGTAAAAGTTCATTTGCTTCTCCTTGGGAGGCCTTAAGTCTATTCATGGTGGCTGTGATCTGAAAGCAGGTTCAGTGCAAGCACATCATGACATGCTCTGCAATACCCCAAGGAATATTTCACTTATTTTCAGGTCATGGAATCTGAATCAGTCTACCATTCTGGACAGTCTTAGGCAATTGCAATTAAAATATGCATCCCTTTTGAGCACATAAATCCATTCCTAGGTTTTCATCCTAGGCAAACATTTGATGGTAGTCACAATGATTTACTACAACAAAGTTTGTAGACCTGAATTCCTAGCGTCAGTCTTTTGGCTTGGACCTGAATGTACTGTACAATGAGAAGCCACAAGTGAAAAGCGGCAATGAAGGGGCAGAAGAAATGTTTCTAGGCTATAGCAGACCTACACCCAAGCATGTGCCCACACACGTGCACATTCTCACAACTCTAAGATTCTCCTGGATGATTTTTCTAGAGGATGAAGAAGGCAAACTGCATAATTCTGTTACAACAATTTGAACTGCACTAATAGTATATACCATTTAGAAGTAGAAAATGACCATTAGAAAATTTAACATAATTGCTTATGATAGGAACTATTAAGAAGCAAATTAAGTGTCTTACAATAGGGAACAGGTTAAATTAATTATGTAACAACTATATAATAAAATTCTAAGAAAACATTAAAATAAGATTGCTATGGACCAAATGTTTGTGTCCCCACAATTTTGTATGTTGAAGCCTAATTTCTAAAGTGATGGTATTTGGAGGTGGGGTTTGGGGGAAGTAATTAAGTCTTGAGGGTGGAGCCCTCATGATTGGGATTAGTGCCCTCATAGGAAGAGACAGCATGCTTCCCCACTTTCTGCTCTCTGCCCTGTGGTGATATAACAAGAAGATGCCCATGTGCAAATAGGCCCTTTCCAGACACCAAATCTGCTGGTATCTTGATCCTGGACTTCTCAACCTCCAGAATTCTGAGAAATAAATATTTATGCCACCCGTCTATGGTAGTATGTAATAGCCGCCCAAAGTGACTGAGATAGAGATATATTTAGAACAGAAGAGAGAATTAATTTTTCATCTATACAATTAGAAAAGATGAAAAATATTGATTATACTCTTAGTTGGTGAGGATATAGGAAAACAAGTATTCACATGCACTGTGAGAACATAAAATACAACATTTTTGGAAGTCGTTCTGGCAATATCAAACCTTAAAACATATGTGCTTTTGGACACATCAGTTCCTCTTCTAGTAAATACATACAGAAATACTCCCATGACAAATATGGTCATTGTAGTAGTTGTGGTAATAGATTTTAAAAAGGAAAAAAAAATAATCCATCAATGTTCCCAAAAGATTGGTTTAAGAAAGGTTTGATCATTCATACAATGCAATATTATGTGATCATAAAAAATAATAATGATGTAGAGTTACATTTACTCACATAAAAAAAAAATCCAATGTACACTGTTAAGCAAAAAAGGCAAATTGAAAGTTAATACATGTGGTATTACATATTTGTAACAGTATACATATATTTATTTTGTGTATTTAAGGTATGAATATGTAATTAAACTCACTATAACATGATAAGTGAAGTTCACAAAATTCATTACTGCATAATTCCAGGTTATATTACTGAGAGATGAATGGAATGATTGATGTGAGCTTATTTGGTCAGCTGGTTGTATGGCCCAAATTCATCAGGGACCCAGATGTGCTTTGGTGCCACAAATAGTTGTTCACTGAGCAGTCAGGCTTAAATATCAGCCATCCATTTTACCCTCTCCCCATCCCCTATCACTAATCATGTTATATTCAGAGACAAGTTATTATTGGGTCTTACTGTATTTTTACATCATATTAGAAATGTGGATAATATATAGTGAACTAATACCATATGTTTGAGAATAAGTATTTAATATAAAGCGAACTTTTACTTTCTATGTGTTGAATTATATATTTGAAATTTATCTATAATAGGCATGTATTAATAATTCAGAAAAATGTCTGAGATAAAACTTTGAAAATATGCAGAAGACATAAGTATCTGACAAATATGCATCATTATTTATTGTATTTATTGAAATACAAGTTTTTATAATATATTGGTATGTGAAAAAAGCAGGTTACAAACAGTAACCAGCAGAGGATCCCATTTTTAAAAACAACATATCTATGTATATATATGCAAACAGAAAATATTATGGAATAATAAACATCAAAATATTAGAAGTGGGTAGGATTGGGTGGTTGGTGGGCTTATGGGTGATTTATATATTCTTTTTTCTACTTCCATGTAGATTCTTCTACATTTTCATAGGGGATACATGTAACTTCTACAATAAAGAAAAGTTTAAAACCAGTATGCTCTCATTTTATGATGTATATTTTATTTTATTTATTTATTTATTTTTGTCTTTTGTCTTTTTCCGTGTCCAGCAACGGATCGCAACCCTCAGTGTTGCCCCCGTACCGGACCGGGGACCGGCAACGGGATTGCAACCCTCGGTGCTGCTCCCATGCCTCGCTCAGCCAGTGAGCGGGAACCGGTCTGTATGTGGGATCTGAACCCTCGGGC